TCCGGCGTCGCTGACATCCAAGCGACGGCCTCGCCTGCCTCTGCGCCTCATCCCGCTGTTTGCACAGCCTCGCACGGATGGTCGGACTGCCCGCGGACGTCGGACGTCGACGTGCGGCCGGGATTGTGGGTTTTGGTGGCCAAACTCCATCTCGGGGGGGTCAAAGACCATTTTCAGAAATGACATCATGAGATTCATATATCCATGATATGAATTAATTGTGTTTGTTGTTTTAATGAACCTGTTTTAATGAAAAACACATGCATGTTGACTTTCTCTGATTGCGTTGTTTCATTAGGTGACCAACAGCAATCTTCCTTTGCTTCATCGACCTCAACAACACATGCCAAAGGGATTCCAAACTTGTATTTGTTTGTTTCGGAAGCCGGGGAAAGAAATCATCCGACCTTTCCCAGGAGATCTCAGAAGAGGATTCAACCAGTTCAACTTGAATCAAGTACTGAAAGAGAGCTCAGAGCCAATCCCAACCGATCAACAAAAGAATCCATCCTATATAATTATAGCTGGTATTTCATGCTGGTAGGTACACACCTAGGAAGTCCTTAAACATGAAACCTTTTCAATTGAATCTTCGTTGTTTTTTCTGGTCTCCTTACTTCGGAATGAAGTCTGTGAATCACCGCCGACCCCCAAGTCTTTTGGAGGCCAAGTTGCTCATAGTCGACCATGCCTCGTACGCAGGGAGCGGCGGTCGTGGCGCATCGCCACGACCCACGGCGGAGGTCGAACGACCCACGGAGGTGAAGGAGTTGACCTGTCGAACAGTCTCCCTGAGACTTGTCCTGAGTCCCTGTTGGGGTGACGGACATGGAGACAGCTGACGGCATGGCGAGTCAGCTTGTCGTTGGGTGATGGCTGAAAAAGAGGTGATTTTCCATATATATGTGTCAATGAAGCCTGGAGTCGACCTGAGTGAGGAAACCAACAAAGGTTATATATAAGTGACCTGAACTAGGACCTTACTGGGATACCTATGGCATGAGATAGTCTATAGAGTTCTTCAACCTCTGTTGGAAATGGATGAACATGGGGGCCCCAGGAAAGTACAGTAGCTGTTTTTCTCGGGTCATGTCCCCATGTTCTATAGCACGAACGAAGTCGCGCCCGGGTACACTGCACTGCCGGCCATCAGAACTTAGATTTCAACCCATCCCAAAGCCGGCCAGTCCAGTTACTGTTGTTGAAACCCTAGTAGTAACAGGTGCCTTACTAGTAGTAACAAGAAGCTACTAGTAACAAGTGCCACGCTAGTAGTAACAAGTGCCACGCTAGTAGTAACAGGTGCCTCGCTAGTAGTAACAGGTGCCAGCTACTGTTGTTGAAACCCACCCTAAGGATCAGAACGGACCCTCCGAACTGGAGGGTTTGGACCCTGCATTTCTCTTGGGTCACTTGGACCTGAACCAATCCTTCACCTGAAAGAGGGTCCTTGATTCTTAGGGCACCATGTTTTTGTTGAAGACCAACCCCGTATGGATCCACTGCCACCTTCTCAGAAGGCAATTGGACCCTTCTGGCGCCTACATAAATAGTCTCCAATCACCGTACCTCAGGTTCGGTATGTGGTTCCATAGCTAGGGAACTTCAAAAAGCTCATGAAGGAGACGGACGGGGGGCAGAGTCGGTTGGAGTGTCCAGCCCAAGGGATTGTCTAGAAGCGAGCGTTATCACCGGCGACCCTCTGGTCTTTTTCCCTCAGCTGAGCGAGCGCGAAAATCGAAAAGGCGCCAGAACATCGCCCGGAAACTGCGGCCGCTTCCGAACTGAACTCCCAACTTCCAGAACCGCTGTGACACGAATCCACCAGCGGTCCGACACCATCTATAAAATGGTCCAAGAAAGTGAGCTCGAGCGGCTTTTTGAGCCACCTGTAGGTGTAGGGAGGATTCCATGATCATCCAACTCTGCGGCTGGATTCTGATTCGGTAATCCAAGTCCAGGTGGCTTTGATCGGAACGGACTGCACAATGTGTCACCTCACACACTCAAAGCTTGGTCACCCCCTTGGACTGCGTGGTCCACTGGCATCATCGCTGCAAACCGTCCAGATGGCCCATCCCTTCGTCCCGGACGTCCGCCGGACGAACGACCGAGTCGAGGTTGAAGGACCTGAACTAGGACCCTACACGGGGACCCATAGGATAGCCGAGCTAGGGTTCTTCAACCTCTGCTGGCACCCAACCCTGTTTCGTCCCAGGTACTGGCTTTGCCCAGCTGGGGCATCCCAGCCTCCTCAGGGACGGAGGCTACGGCGGTATTAGTACCAGTTCACGCGCGTTCAACCGACGCGCGTTCAACGACGCCTGTCGTCCTATATGGATTTCAGGTGATCCAATTGACCTGGAACTTCAGAAGTGCGTCTCATGAAGTTCTTCTGCAGGCAAAAAGGTCTAAAAAGGCCGGCGTTCGCAGGTCCGTCAGGTCCTCTTTCTCCACCACGAGGTTCGCCCAAGGTTCGCATCAAGCTTTTTCTCCAACATCCATACCAGCCATGAATCCTTCTAGAGAAACTAGAAGTCCAAAATCAAGATTTTGCCCTACAAGTACAGAATCCAGAAGTAAAGGAAGTTCCTCTTCGGGTCACCTAACCACCACATATTTTAATAGTCTTGGACTCCCAGGGTAGATATAGTTTGAACATATATACACATGTTTGTTGAAAATGTCACCACGCTCACAGCTCCGGCCCCTCCATTCAAAATATCCCCGACTCCCTCAGTTTCCCCGGAAAGTAAAGAAAAAACGCTCCTAGCGCTTCCATTGGGTGTCCAATGGTGACCTATAAGCAGTATAGGGTTGTCCAGCCAGGTAACCCCGAATGGAAGCAGCTGAGCTGGTGGTTCTTTTTCCACCTGACCTATAGTTGGATTGACCAAAGCCATTTCCCCGAACACAGGGGGGCAAGTAATCCACGATGCTTTTGTTCTTCCTGCCATTTGAGGATCCCATCTCTCCCACACGCACGCAGGTCACTCATCACCCCATTTGGAGGCCCGAGGGTCTTTCCGCTTTTTGACCTCTGCGATGAACTCATCGAGGTCCGTCTCGCGGTTGATGGAGGTGATGGAGACGCCACCTGTGTCTTTTGTGCTTCCGCGTCGGTCCAGTGCTGGTTCTGTGATTTGGCTGGATCGGTCATGGCGGACCCTGCAGGGACTCTGAAAAACACGAATTAGACGACTGAAGGACGTCAACCTACCAGGGTGAATGTGGGGCTCCAGGTTTATTGAACCATCCCGAATCCTCCACTTCGTCGCCTATAGAGTCCAAAGAGCATAGGATTAGACACGAACATGTCAGATAGGATTAGACACCCCTGCGCTTGCGCACAGCAGTGCGTCGCGTCTCTGTGCCGTCTTTGTGCAGGGTCTCTGTGACCTTCACTCGAACTCACTGGGCTCGTGCGGGGCTCGACTTTGTTGGCCACACATTCTCGGGTCAGGACCCCGACGAAAGGTTCGTACTCAGTTCATGGGACTATGACTCACTATGTATAGATATAATAGGCCGGTACGACTGGGGCACCATTTTCAAAGGTACGTACATACAGGTCGAATGCAGTTCTGACAAACTCCCTGATAACATCTCCAGTTCTATGCTACTTGGGAAAGCTGTCTCAGCTCTTAGGATCCGCAGACCCGATCCGCCCCGGATCTGCCCGCGTGCGGCGGTTAAGGGGAGATCCAGTGACCAGTCAGTGGTTTGCATTGGAGGAGCTCCGTGGGTCTTCACCCACACCCATTTTGGGAGTCAGTCAGAAGCCTGAAATACCTGGACCTGACGAGTTTTTCGCTCGGAATTAGAAATACTCATTGATTAATTGTGATTGACGCTCCTTCAACCAACTCAGCTCCCCAAAGTCACACACCAAGTCAAGTCCAAAAAGTCGCGTCGCACCAGTCGACTGACTCGGCGAACCAACGACCTGACGTCAGTCGGTGCACCGGTTTGGAGCCGACCCGGCTTTTGAAAAAACATCGCCAGTCCCTACGTACGTCTAGTCTGACCCAGTCAAAACCATGGTCTTTGGGTCTCAAAGAATTGGTTTTGTACCCACCCTAAGGATCAAGGACCCTCAGTTCGGTGAAGGTTTGGTTCAGGTCCAAGGGCCCCCTGCGGAACCTGCAGGGTCAGGTCACCCTCCAGTTCCGTGGTCGGATCCGTTCTGATCCTTAAACCAGAGGTCTTTGACCCAGACGCCAGTTCTCACGTCACCGGTCTTCCGGTCTCCCCCGGCCTCCTGGAGGCATCGCGGCGACGTCGCGAGGCGCGCCGAGCGTCAGCACCGGTCGTTGAGCGCTCGGAGCCCCAACGGAGCGGAGGCGGAGCTTGAGCGATGGATACGCGGAGCGGAGTTCACGTCGGATCGATTCGAAGCACCGTTCGGTTGTCGGTTCGCGTAGGGCGGGCGAAGTTCGAGTGGTCGGACCCGTGAGTCTGGGGTGCACCGTCCACGCTCGGATTCCGCCGGAAATGGACAAGACATGCCCGATAGGGATCCAAGTACCTTCTCAGAAGGCACCTGGACCCTCCTGGCACCCACCCCAAACACCTTCTGAGAAGGCACTTGGATCCCTAGGGATGGTTTAGCCATGAAGATATTTCCGTGAAGCCCCCGGTCCATCATGTTCATCCATGTTCATCCATGTTCCACCTCTTGGCTTTGAGTGGGGAAAGAAACAGCGTAAGGTTTGTCCACGTATACTTCCTGGGTTTTGGGTCGGGACATAAAAAGAGTTCGCCAAACTCATATACCAGCTTCTTCAGTTCGTGACCTTTTGAAGGTTCGTCAGTGACCCTTTTTTCGGAGGCTTAAGTGACTTGAAACCAGCTTATCAAGTTCGGTCACTTGGAAGAACCATCCTTCAAACCTCGCATTGGTGCAGTCCCGTCCAAGTCTTCTTTGATGTTTTCTCACTTTTTCAGTCTGATGTTTCCTCTTGGCCAAAGGCAGCAGCCACAGCCCCAGAATAGACTGTGTGACATATATGTCATAAAGTTCACTATCATGTTCTTATTCCCTTTTGGATTCATGGCCACATGAGATGCTTCCACTCACTCCAAAAACACGCCATCACCTCGCCATTTTTATAAGCCAATGAGCACGTGATTCACAGGCGGCTCGGAAGAATTCCCACATGCGCCGTCTGGCGCCTACCCTGCTTCCTCCACATCCCTGCTTGTGTGGGTTCTTCTGAACGGTGCCTCACAATCCAAGTTGCTTCCTCGCAGTGGCTGGCAGCTGGGCCCGTGGGTTCTCCTCCGCGGTGGCGGAGAGACCGCCACTGTGACGAGAGCGTCTGCGCAACAGCGCAGCGCAAAACCATGCCGTGATCACTGCATTCATCTGTCTGCTCAGCTGTGTGCGATTCCGAATTCGTCGGGTCGCCGCTGTGTGGCGCAGCCCCGACCCCTCCCACCTGGACGGCGCATGGTCTCATGCCACGCCACGCAGCTGCTGCCTGCAGCGTTTTCATGCGAGAACACTGCTAATTTATGTCCATGAGACGAACTGTGCAGTCAGCACAGCTTCGCGGGAGCCTCGACTAACAAACAATGTGTGCAGTGATATGATGATGCGAAAATACGAATACGCGAAGCAGTGAGAGAATACCAATCTCCTGGATTCATCTTCCGAAGCGTCAGATGTTTCACAAACTACCAGCGAATAAGGCCGCAACATGACTTGGGCTTGTTGATGCTTCCCAGCAGGGACAATATGATAAAAGTCGACGATCTGGCACGTCTTTTTTGCTCAAAGATGGGGTCGCTGTCGGCGTGCCGGAAGATGGCGAATTGAGAAGAAGGTGACCCCCCCTCTCGGCCTACCCAAGCCGCTCAGAAGAACTCGTTCAGAGCCGCCTTATGAGACGGAGGCCTCGTCAAGCACCTTCTGCAGCTCAAGTGGATCATCCAGAAAAGCTTCAGTCTGATGGACGCTGGTGCTACTGGGGTTGCCTTTGATGTGCTTGTAGATGCCCTTGCCGAGGCGAGCTGCACCCTTGAGAACACCCTTTACCACAAAGATCACCGGCTTGAAGGGGAACAAGAACACCGGAACACCCGCTTGACGCAAGAGTCCGTCAAGAGCTTGCCCGTCAAAAGGCCACTCCAAAAGCAATACACGACTGATGAAATTGCCCACATACCGGCGGCAAAAAGTGCCACCCATCCAGCAGGACCACCTGCAATGATCAAAAAGCTGGTCAAAGCGCCGGTTAAGGCGATGTTCATGAGAAGAGAAAGCAGGGCATTTTTTTACATTTTCCGAGCCATGACCTCGGTGGAAGTGTGGTTGACTTGCAGTGCAGAGCCTGCAGAGCTGTCCGTCTCAGCCTCCTCTTCCACCACATGATCAGTGGCTGCATCCAACTCATCTAAGACCAATGAAGCTTCTCCTCGCTCTTGCTCAGACTCTTTCTGCAAGTCCTTCAACTTCACCAGGCCTTCGGCTTCCTCTTCAGCTGACACTGGACGGCAAGTCTCTGGCATGGCTTCAAATTGAAGCTTGGCCTGCTGCTTCGCATCTGTGTTGTCAAACAAGAGGGCATGGGCCAGCCCAGTCACCTCAGATAAGGCTTTCTTGGGATCCCGCAGAAGCTCCGACTTGCGGCACTTCATCTTCTTGAAAAGCTCCGCCATACTCTCAGCCTCGCCCTGGGAATTGGCCAAATTCTTCAACACCTTGGCGAAGCCATCACTGAGAGCAGTTCTTTCGGATTCATCCAGGGTGCCCATGAACGTCTCATGCACAAACGCCCTGATGATGAATTGGAATGCCTCATGGGATAGCCGGGCAATGAGCTAAGGAAAAAGCTGAGCGATGTGAACCTTCATTCGATATATTCATAGAGAATCATAGAGAGTATGGATCAAAACCCTGGTACCCTAGTGAACATGCAACAAATGACCAGAATAGTATTTGTGGGGATGTTCACCTAGCTAGCCATTCTTTGGATTTTTGTTGGATGGTTGGTATTGATATAGTTGGTATATCCCCTATTATTGCTGGTGAGTATCCACTACTATTATCATTAACCATGAGCAATTATTTTTTTCCATTCACCATTCAAACTTATTAGCCATTAACCATTCACCAGCCTTTCAACCAGTTGATCCCCCCTGACCTCTTTGCCGACCCACTTCACCGACCTACCCAGCCAACTTCGCCCAGCCGACACTTCGCCTCAGTCATGGGCTTCACGACGGGCACACTTCCGGTTCCAGCGGCTGGCTTTCTGACAACTCTCGCTGTACCTTGATGTCCGACGCGCTGCGTCCAGCACACCGCCAGGTGGATGCTGGGAGGGCCCTGTGGGTTACTGGGTGGTTGAAGCACCCCCTGCTGGACAGATCTGAAAGTCCAAGCAATCTTCCCAAAGTCATTAATAAAAACATGTTCGAAACCACCAACTAGAACTGGTTGATTGATGGAATTGTTGGTTAAATTATGGTTTATCGATAAAGGTTATGACATGTTATGACACCATTATTACTCGTGGAACGCAGCCCAACGTCCAGGCAGCCCATCATCAACAGGCGCCCACAAAGAAGGTCCGAGGCTCTTCTCGCTCTTCGCAATGAGGATCTCTATCATTGCATGATAGTTTTCAAGGCCGTTGTTCTCCAACAGGTAGGCATTCGTATGGCGGCAACTCTCGGCAGGCGTCAGGTCCAAGGGCAAGCGCTTTCGGACGCATCCTTCACTGCAACCCTTCAGCAGGGACGTGCTGCAATCCGCATGCAACTCGTTCCACTTGGATTTGGACCATTCAACTTCCTGGTCACACGGACAGCATCATGACCGGCCAAAAGCAAGATGAAGAACAAAGCTTTCATCTGCACGTGGCTGGAAGCTGTGCGCATAGCGTAGAGAGCACGCCTCAAGGGTAGAAATGGTTTCACAAACTCGTTAGGATTCGAGGCTTGAGCCATGGAAACACATGGAAAACCCAACAATTGGCAGCTTCTGCTTCTACGCAGTGCCGATGTGCACCACCGATTTTCGGGCTCATCAAAGAGCGTCCGGTTGGAGGATGCAGCTCGGGGACGATGTGATCCCAGATGACCTCAAATGCCGAGTACCTGTTTCCGGCTTCATGCCCGGCCTCGGGACCTTCAGCGGGACCTTCAACTGGACATATTCCACAAAGGTTTTCGGGCTCTGGCTCTGTCGCTCCTGGCCCTGCCCCCTACTATATTATAGAAGGTGCAAGGTTCGGCTGCAGGGCGCCGAGATGTCAGGAACCTGAACGGGAATTTTAGTTCAGGTTGGGGTTCAAGTTTGGGCGGAGCGTGTAATGGTGGAGTATATGTTAACATGTTTGTTTGGATCTGGGATGGTCTGGGTCTTCAACCAGGATTCACCTCGCCGACTAGTCTAGGTACGGCCCACAGCAAGTCCGGTTAGGTTTGCATGCAAAGCTTGGTGAGTGGAGGTGTCCCAAAACGACTCACCAAATCTTCGATGAAACTTCCCAGGAGTCACGTTCGTGAGTGGGTGGTGCTGTTCGTCCCAGCCAGGGGCCGTGGAGGTTTCTCGGGATCCCTATCCTCCAAGTTCGGCACCCCTTTGTGACTCCTGGGCATGAAACCTTCGGTCCTTCTTCCCACCACACCCCTCACCCGCCTGGCTCGGCACGTGGGCCCACCGCCGTTTTTGCGCGCCGTCAGCGCTCCGGCTGCTCGGAGGGCTCCAGCAAGAGCTCGCGAAGCTTGGCGACGTCCTGACCACGTCACCAGAGTGGATTTGGTGGACCCCTTGGAGGAAGCCCAACCTCAGGGCATTAATGGTATGGAACAGTAACAAACATTGGGTCCAGAAATGGGATAATATGTAAGTTGTATAATTTTTGTAAAGAATAAGTACAGTACCATACATGGAGTGTCTGGGAATGTTCACCAAACAATTGTTCCAAGGACGTGAGCAATCAGATAGGCCCTATAGGGATCCAAGTAATTCCGAGTTTTGCATTTCGGTATCTAACCTTGGAGGACTTATATATATTTCGGAATTAACAAAAGGTTCTTTTTAGGTTATTGGTTTGACAGTCTGCTGGGTTGAACAAGAAAAGCAAGCATCTTCCAGGTCTCCTGATGAAGGCCCCCCGCCTGATGATGGATTTGCCCGAACCGGGAACATGCATCAAACCAATCAAACCACTAGAAAACAACCAGTTTTCAATATTGAAAACAAGATGGAACCCACGAACCCGAATGAAAACACGATCGAAAAACTACATATGTCCAAATGACACTCTTGTAGGACACTCTTGTGGGACACTCTTCTGGGACACTCTTGTAGGACACTCTTGTAGGACACTTTTGTGGGTCACTCTTGTAGGAAACTCTTATAGGACACTCTTGTAGGACACTCTTAAAGGACACTCTTGTGGGACACTCTTGTGGGACACTCTTGTGAGACACTCTTGTAGGACACTCTTGTGAGACACTCTTGTAGGACACTCTTGTGGGACACTCTTGTGGGACACTCTTGTGAGACACTCTTGTAGGACACTCTTGTGAGACACTCTTGT